TATGAAAGGCTAAGGGAGTAAACCCTGAAAGAAAAATCACTGCTGCCTTGTAGGAACATATGGGAGTATGAAAGGCTAAGGGAGTAAACCATGAATAAAAAAATTACTGCTGCCTTGTAGGAACATACGGGAGTATGAAAGGCTAAGGGAGTAAACCCTGCAAGAAAAATCACTGCTGCCTTGTAGGTACATACAGGAGTATGAAAGGCTAAGGGAGTAAACCCTGCAAGAAAAATCACTGCTGTCGTGTAGGAACATACGGGAGTATGAAATTTTAAGGGAGTAAACCCTGAAAGAAAATCCGGAGGAAGAGCCCCCAAGGCAGAGGTCACAATTTGATCACTGGCAGCTCCTGCAACTCAACTCATTCTCAAGTATTGATCCTGTCTTTCCTTTGTCTCTTATCATCTGTGTCAAGAGGGGGGACGTGTTCTATGGGCTCGGCACCTTCTCCATATCCAAAAGCCCAGGCAAGCAGCAACTACATGCTGCTTTGACAGTCTATCAAGAGCCATATATACTAACTCCTTTCCATATTAAAACCAAAATTAATCAATACAACTTGAATAATTACCCATGCGCTAACTTACAAATACATAGAAACGAACTATAATAAAAAGTACACGGAAACGCGATACTCTGGACTGCCAATGTGCGTGGTCTAACACAGTTAGCGACAACCAGTAGACGGCTGTGACTCCAACGTTTCTTGTATTAACCTTGTTAATATCGACTCCAGATATCCGCTCGTCACGTGCGTACGTTCGCCGTACAGTAGTTGAACTAGAGAAACGTAGACCCGACAGCAAGTTCCAATCTAAACCCAGGCGTCTACAGCTTGCACCAGCAAATCCTGCAAAAACTTTACACTACGAAGTTACGACAACTCAGTGCGCCGACACCTCACCTCAGCTAGGTTGTCTGAAGGCAATAATTAATTAAAAATAACATTCATACTCATAGGAGAAATATCTGCATAAGCGTAGTACACAAAATGACCGACAATTACATTCCGTGACTGCAAAGTTTCCGTCAACTAAAACTGGTAAATACATACGATTAATAACATGATTTGATAACTGCCTTCAGCGCATGGCTATGATCAATCTGATTAAAATCTGATGTAGTGTACGGGCTTTAATTATTTTGGCTATAAACTTATTTTAATTTTATTTTTTATTACTTTTGTTATTAATGCCATTTTATTTCATTATTTTACTTTGATTTTGATTTTGTAATTTTTTTTAATTCTGCCCTACCTACATCTGATCCGACGCCTATGTAAGTCCCGTTCAAATCTCGCGTAAGTAACAGCCAATCACAGCCCCCCTTTTATACAGGCTGTCGGTTGCTTACTTTTCAGTGTATATGGGCAATCTTTCTGTACATTATATTTTGCCCACTTGA